TGATATAAGGGGCCGATGTCGCCTGGGAGCCTGTATATCGCGAGGAGCAGCTCGTCCCATATGGCACCACCTTGGCCCAGATGTAGTATATTGATTACAACACAGTACATAGAGTGGACCCCTCTAATTCTGGACCCCATGGAAAGTGTCGATATTTAAAATGGGGTATTTGAGAGGGGTTTCGGCTTAGTCCAGGTTTTTTTTTTTATTTTGCGGCGGTAGGGGAACTATACAGTGGTAGCTACAACTACGTCGGCACACAGATCTCACACCTCGCCCCTCCCCATTCCCCCCCCAGACTACCCACTCACATCCTCCCCCATCCCCCCTACCCCATGCCTTTTTAGGTGGGAGACAATTGCTGTACTAGTCTGCTGGGCATGGATACAGCTAGATGTGGGACTAAAGGAGGCTGGACTGGTTCCAAATCCGACAGCGTTGCTTTCTGTGTTTTTTCGACTATCCTCCATCAACAAACTATACATTACTGGCAAATCAGTGGATGATAACCCTTATAACACTGCTCTGATAATTTGAGCCATGGAAAACATGCGCCACTTGCCTAAGTATGAGAGATGTCAAGACTATTTTGTGCAAACGTGTCTGTGACTATTGGTTCCGTTTTTGATTGTGTTTTATGTTGTTGGGCTGTTGGCAGTTATTTTGAAGGTCTGGAGAGCTTTGGAGGTGGCTGGTTCCTGGAGGGACACGGGTCTTCCCTTTTCTGCTCAGAGATGCCCAGGTGGTGCCATTTGAAAGAAGGGTCAATGAGTTTCGATTTCTTACCTTTTCATCTATAGTATTCAGTTTAGACCTTATATTACTTATTGTTTATGATGTGTACTACATATGGGGCTGGACTTTCTCCTTTTCCTTTTCCCCTCTGGTTGTGACTAGGTGGGCACTATTTGGGAAGGAACAATAATGTTCTGAGTCTTGATATTCTGAGAGTCCTTGAGAAAGTCTGTCTGCGGAAGTAGTATGTTCCTCTTTCTCCTCCCTTTCACTCACTCCCTCCTTCGCTCCTCTTTTTTATTCTCCGTCTCTTTTTCTCTTTTGTGTTTTTTTTTTTTTTTTTCCGCTCCCTCGCCCTTCCTCATTTTTCTCTCTGAGATACGTTGAAGTGGGTGACTGACATGGTCAATCTCGTCTCTTCTCGGTCTTCCCTCTTGCTCGCTGTTCACTCGAGAGGGGCGACCTGATCTGAGAGGATTCAGGGCGTGGTGCCTTTTGTCCTCCCGAGCGATGGGGGGAAGGATCCGCAGGTCTAGAGGTGGCGGCCAGGGTATCTCGCTTCTCTTGGACACGGTCTACATCAGTGAGACACACAGAATGGCCACATGAGAGCATAAAATCAGGACCGTTTGAGATGAAGATATTTCAGAGGACTATGAAGGGAATTTCCATTGCATTCTAAATCTTTCTTTTGTGCGGGCTCTAGTTTCCTATGATATAACTGCGTGTAAACTTGGTCGTTTGAACCAACTGGTGTTTTTTGAATAGATTGTGGTGTGCTCACAAATCATAATTACTGTTTCGCAGACTCTCATGATAAGCTATAGGTAGTGTAATCCTTTGTATTTCTGTTGTTGAAGTAGTTGTGGCAGGGGGTCCCCGGACTCTAATGTATTGATGTAGCTGATGTTCCGTACAGTTTATGTTACTGTTGGAGTCAGGGCTGCTCGCAGAGCCGCCCCAGCGATAGAGTGCCTGCTGAGTAGGTGTTTGTTAAGTATCTATACTCTTATGACGGTGTTTGTTACTCAAACAGATGGTGGTTCATCCGGTTCGCTACATTCGTAGTCCATCTCCAGCTACCCAAGTCCCTGGTTTAATATATACTGATGCCTCTTCCATACTCCCATCAGATGAAAAATGTATGCAAAGCTGTTTTTTAGCTGATATTGTGTCTAAGACTGCATATCAAGCTAGTGATACAGCAGGGGCAACGGATATTATCTTAACGTTGAGAATGCTCAGAGAGCAAAGGTTATATTAAGTTGAACTTGACTTTCCACCGCTACCCCAGACGTGGTAGCAGATCTGTCGAGTGGTTGGTAATGGACGGACATAGACTTTCTCTCTTGATAGCATCCAACTCCCAGCACTCATTTTAGGATGATCTCGATTTGGACACTGCGCACTTAAAAAGCTTCGCGTCACATTCCTCACTTTTGATTAACCATCCAAAACAGAATTGCCTGTGTTTTTTTTTTCTGTTGATAATAGTTCCCTTCCCTCTTCGCAATTGGCTAGTAGAAAGGGGGTGTTTTTAAGATTTCCCGTCTGAGCACGTTGTTCCTTTGTTAAAAAACAAAATGGAGAAAAGCAAAGAACGAGACTATCGTTAGCTTGTAAATATTTTAAAAAGTCTGGGTGGCTGTCAAAACAACTTGATTCCATGAAGCGCCGGTCGGATGAGATGGGGAATTCCTCTTTTCCTCTGTCTCCGTTCCTTCCTTCTTTCGCTCCTTCCCTTCTCCCTTTGTTTCTCTGTCCTTCCTCGCCCCTCTTTCCTCATGTGCGCGGTTTTTATCAGCAATCAGATCGATAAGTCCAATGCAAGAGCATGCAACAGATCCTGTACCGGGGATGGTTCATGATGAGGAGGATCCTGTGTCATGTCATGCACCCCCTTTGTTCCCTAGAGAAAACATGAGAGTTTTCCCCCTCTCCTCTGCAACTAACTGGGAGCTAGGTGGGAGGTATGAGAGTTGATGATACATTACATAGGATAGAATGAGAAAGAAACCAGGCAAGAGAAGTGAGGGGGATCAGATGCAGTTTGTAATAGGGGAACCTTCCTCAGCCGCGCGATCGATCTAGATAGTGAGGGTTTCCCCGCCGCCCAGCTCACCTGTGTCCTTACGAGGATGTGGTCTAACTTAATGACTTAACTGTCTATAACTGCCTAACTGCCTTCCTTATGTAGTCCATTTACTATTCCATCCATCATGCTACAATTAGGGAACAACATCTAATCTTATTTTATTGCAAACCCCTTTATTCTACATCTTATTGCAAAAACCCCTTACCGGTAAGGCGCTGGGCAAAGGCTCCAATAATAATTAGGTTTCTGTCTTTCTCTTTCGTATAAATCTTAAAGTTAGTTTACTAAACTAAAGGGATCACGAAAGAACAGAAATGAAACAGTGTATTGCGTAGTTCGATACGCGTAGTGGTACGCTATATAGGGAGGCTAAGATTGATAATATGATGACTGAAAATAGTGTTAACTAAAAACTAACTGCCGTGTCCAGTCGAAGTCCACAGGGAGCAAAATAGGACCTCTTGTTCTATGAAGGTAATCCCTTAGACACAAAATTGTAGCGGAAACGAGTAAAAATTTACGGGCAACTTTGGCAGATGGGGCGATTGATGTCATCAGTATGGAGACTCCGGACTGCGTCACATATGCACTCCTCACTGAACTGAATGTCATCTTCTACTGTGCCAATAGGGCCTGCTCTATAAGGAGTGCAGAGTGGAAAATTCCAGTATTGGTGTAATAAGGACACGTGGGACCAGCCTTTATAGGAGGTTGTCCCTTCTTTTTGAGATCAAAGAAAAGTAAACGTTTAGACCCTCAAGTGTGTCCTTTACTGAGAGGGGAGTCTCCCTTATCAGAGGTGATGTGTCCTTTACTGAAGAGGTGAGTCTCCCTTACCAGAGCGAAGTGTGTCTTACTGAGAGGGGAGTCTCCCTTATCAAGTCTCCCTTACCAGAGGTGAGTGTGTCCTTTACTGAGAGGGGGAGTCTCCCTTATCAGAGTCTCCTCAGAGGCGAGTGTGTCTTTACTGAGAGGGGGAGTCTTCCCTTATCAGAGTCTCCCTTACCAGAGGTGAGTGTGTCCTTTACTGAAGGGGAGGGGGATCTCCCTTATCAGAGGTGAGTGTGTCCTTTACTGAGAGGGGAGTCTCCCTTATCAGAGTTCTATATACTGTATGGAGGAGGGGAAGAGGAGGAGGAGACCTTCTTTAATTAGCTCCTCTGTCAATTCGTCCATGATACTCAGCACCACTCCACATCTGCTTCTAATTCTGCACTACTCTGAAATAACAACATCACACAACACCGTTTACACTCGTCCCACTGGTCGAAACTCACACTCCGCAGACACACACAAAACACTCACATCTTGTAAAAGACACTGTTTGTGGGGTGCTGTGTCAGAGATAGGTGAGACACAGCCAGAGATCTCATACCGACGTGGAGAATTGGGCGTGCGATGATTGTGAGTGACACAGAAAATAGGAAGAAGGAAGACACAGTACAGGAAATATAGTATGTGCAAGCTAGCCCACAGTGTAGTAACATGCAAGGGCAATGAAAAATAAAGAAGGGGATTAAGAGTGGGTGTGACAGAACAGAGACAGGCAATAGTGATTGGAGGCGGACTGAGGGTGGTAAGTTCCCTCCATTAGAAATGTCAAGCCAAGTCAAAATCTTGCTACTTGTGTGCACAGCACCACCAGCCTTTCCACCTCTTGACTGTGGATGGAGGCAGGTTCCCGTACTCCGTTCTCACGTGTTCCCATCCTTTACCCATCCTCCATCATCACATCACCACCTCCTGGACCGATGATGCAGGGAGGAGGAGAGGAGGACTTGACTCTCGCGCGAGCCACTAAAACCGCTGCCACTGGCGAGAGGTGATTCGTAGACTACCACTGCTTGCAATTTGATCGGGTCTCCCCGCGGTCTCTCTGATGTGATGTTTCTGAATCTCGTCAGGACTTCTCGCGGCTCTCCCTCAGCCTCTTCCTTGCATCTTGCACAATGCACCGCTGCACGAGAGAGAGGCTGAGTGTTGATATCGAGTCAGCAGCGGAAGCGGTTTCAGCGGCGACCTCCTGGCTCCTGCTCTTATCCTAGTGCAGGAGACTGTTGCGCTGCTCTTGTGAAGGGACTTCTATACTCCTGTCCCTCTTCTGGCTGCCGAGAGGCGGAGTAGTTTATGTCAGACCGCGCTGTTGATAGCAGCCATTTTCCGTCACTCTGGTGGTGTATAATGAAGTCGCCGCTCGTGCCGATGTGTGTGCTTACTCAGCAAACATGCGTCGTCATTAGAACACAAAGTGTGCTCACGTGCCCAAGCAGCGTGCTCTCTCTAGCTAGCTAGCTACAGAGTTTCTCTAGCAAGAGAGCAGAGCTGCGGCCGACAGAGCGTATAGAGAGGCAGTAGATAGGAATGCTATCCAAGAGCGCTCTCACGTTTTGGCGGGAGTTTTTCGCATACAGACATTCAGGTATAAGAGACCTCGCCCCTCCCATAACAAATAACAACTCTCATCTAACTCTCCTCTGCCTCGCCGTCAGACGCAGATTGGGAAAGAGTTGGACAACAGTCAGGCTGAGATAGCACAAGAAGCAGGATGACTCGGAGACCTCCAGGAAAAACTCATCGAGCTGATCAGAGATTTCAGAAGAACGCTTCTCGAGGTGTGTGTGTTGTCCACAACACCCCTGTCTCGCCACATACCACTTCACTTCTTACTCTCTCTCTCCCTTCCTCGCCCTCCTCTTCTTTTCACACTCACGTCACCATCATCATTTCCCGGCATTTCACCCTCCCAGTCGCTCTCTTCATCCTATGAAATGCTCTCTCTCCCCTTCTCCTCCTCTATCCACCACCTCCAGGAGGTTCGTGGAAGGTGTCCCCCTCCTGAAGTCGTTCCAGGCCGAGATTGACGCTCTGCTCTCGCAGGAGTCAGGCCGCTGGAGGCCGCCTTTTCGTCTCAGCCTACAGAGAACCATTGAGATCCCTGGTATGAATATATACACAATCGTAGAGGTCCAGTCTTTTATGGAGCAAAGGGGGCAGGGCAATTAACCCCACCTTAAATAGCTTGCCTCCTGAACAAAATACTAGTGTTAGAACTGAAATTATCTTTGCCAGCGCGATGTACGTACTTTTGCATGAAGCACAATTGGATATGATAGACCTTACAACATAGCATCGTTGCCTTGTCCCATCATACCCATACATTTGGAAGTTGCATGCAACTCTGTCCCACCCAATAGAGTAATTTATCGGAGAAAATAAGTATGAAAGTGTACGTTTGGCGACCCTGGTATATATGAGAGGTGTAGAAGAGGTGTTCACGGCAGCTCTGTTCCTCGTACTCCATTCCCCAGACCCCATTCCGGTACTGGAACAGGCGGTGGCGGTCCAGCAGAGACTCCAGTCTGCTCAGGACCACGAGGTCCAGAACTCAAAGCTGAGAGAGACACTGGAGGAATACAAGATCTTGAGTTTGCCCAGGTCAAGAGCCAGGGTAAGTCAGCCATCTCCCCCCCTCTCTCTCTGTAGTGGTAGAGCACCACTTATCTACACCATTATTTCTCTACCTCTCTTCCCTCTTCCCGTCCTCCTCCAATGTGTGTTGTCGTCTCAGAGGTGACTATCAATAGACTGAGGGAAAAACTGAAGGAAATGGAGCAAGACCTGGAGGGAAAGATGGCGGTAAGAATTTCTCTCGCCTTTTAGTCTGATTCCTCCCTCCTCCTCCTCCTCCTCCTCCGTCCTCCTCCTCCTCTGCCTCCTCCTCCTCCCCTGTCTATATACTAGGCCAGAGCCATCGAGCAAGAAGCGGAGATCCTGAAGACATTTCAAGAGAGAGAGAGGTACATGTCTTCCAACACACACACTACATACACACCTGGGGGGGCGTACGACATTCGGGGGTTCAGATAACATTTGGGGGTTCGTGTAGCATTCAGAGGTTCGAAAATTACTCTGTTAACAAATTTTAACGGTCACTTTCTTGTGCAACTTACATATCTGACGAATGTTTTATTTCTGTGGCCGCGACAATGTTGTGGGCTCTAGTCCCGGAGCTCCCCCCGTATGAGCTATTTCCATGCACCCCACACTGATCCTTTCTGATTTCCTTCTATCCCCCCTCTTCCTTCCTCCCTCTTACCCACACTACATTCCTTACTATACAGGCAGGTAGTGTACTTGTCACTGAGTAGTACACTTGTACTGTATGTACTGCTATGTACTAATGTTGCTTGTGTGCATGAACTTCCTCCCGTTCGGATTTCTGGTTTCCACATCCACTGCCGGGTTACCAGGCCTTTTCCTAACAACTGTCCCCTCTTCCCACCACCATTTCCTACTTCTACACCCCTGCCACTTCCCTCCTCTCTCTTCCTTCTTCTCCCCATCAGAATGTTCGCTAACTGTACATCTTCCGGGGGGTGATGGAGTCTGGGGCAAATTTTTTTTCCAGTTAGCAACTCATTCTAGATCGGGAGATACAGTGGCACCTCTGAAAAAGGACCCTCTAAATATAGGACACCTCTCTATATTGGACACTTGGTTCTGCCCCATACTAATACATAGGGACACCTCTCTATATTGGACACTTGGTTCTGCCCCATACTAATACATAAGGACACCTCTCTATATTGGACACTTGGTTCTGCCCCATACTAATACATAGGGACACCTCTCTATATTGGACACTTGGTTCTGCCCCATACTAATACATAGGGACACCTCTCTATATTGGACACTTGGTTCTGCCCCATACTAATACATAGGGACACCTCTCTATATTGGACACTTGGTTCTGCCCCATACTAATACATAGGGACACCTCTCTATATTGGACACTTGGTTCTGCCCCATACTAATACATAGGGACACCTCTCTATATTGGACACTTGGTTCTGCCCCATACTAATACTAATACATTTTACTACCTCCAAATAAGGGACGCCTCTGAATAAAGGGCAATTTGAATGTGCCAAGGTGTCCTTTATTAAGATCATGGGAGAGATACAGTGGAACCCTCTCTATTTCTCTCTATTTCTCTCTATTTCTCTCTATTTCTCTCTATTTCTCTCTGCAGAGAACTCAAGAGCTCATCTGCCCAGGCACTATCACGACTGGCTGAGGCTGAGTCCAAAGTGAGGACACTGCAGTCGGCCCTGGAGACCACTCAGTCTGAGCTTCTGGAACTGAAGAATAAGTTTGATGAAGACGCCCACGCCAAGTGAGGGGGGAGAGGGAGAGAGGGGAGGAGAGGGAAATGAGAGAGGGGAGGAGAGGGGGAGGGGAGGAGAGGAGAGAGGGGAGGAGAGGGAAATGAGAGAGGGGAGGAGAGGGAGAGAGGGGAGGAGAGGGAAATGAGAGAGGGGAGGAGAGGGAAATGAGAGAGGGGAGGAGAGGAGAGAGGGGAGGAGAGGGAAATGAGAGAGGGGAGGAGAGGAGAGAGGGAGAGAGGGGAGGAGAGAGGGAGAGAGGGGAGGAGAGAGGGAGAGAGGGGAGGAGAGGGAAATGAGAGAGGGGAGGAGAGGGGGGAGGGGAGAGGAGAGGGAAGATGGGGAAAAGTAGAAGAGAGAGAGAGACGTGGTTTTGTCGTCCCCTCAGGTCCTCTGAACTGGATCTACTTGTTGTGGACCTCGAAAGAGCACACCAGGTTTTTCACGACACAATCAATCATACTATGCAGAACATCGGTAGGCGAGCATGCGTGTGAAATTTCAGCACCTTGTGCTCTGCGCGCACTAAGTTCACGTTTTTTGCACCGTCATTCTCCCTCCACTAGAAAGCAATGGCGGCTGAAAGAGAGTTGGAGCACGTGAGACAGACTGCCGGCTCTCTACCCACCGACACATCACGGGAAAAGGTATGCAGAAGTCACACGACTATCATGTGACCCAAAGCTAGTGTCATGTGACCTGAGACCAGTGTCATGTGACTATTCACAGGCTCAGTCCGAGAGAGTGGAGCTGGAATTGGAGTTGCAAGCCAGAGAGAAAGAGGCGAGCAAAAATTTCTCTTCCCTCCCACGTTTTTTTCAAAAGGGAGCAAAAAGCAGTTTTTTTAGAAGCATAACTAATGATTGTGTTTTGTTTTTGGCCCTATTTTCAAGAAGTTTTTTAATTGGCCTCACATGCGATACTTACACTTTCACTTTACTCCGGCTACACAAGGTAGTGTGTCTTCCCTATATTACATCGTGTTACATGACATTTCTTTTCAGAATGCGCGACTGGTGGAAGACGGGGCTAAGTTACAGACCACACTATCTCGCCTTAGAGAAGCCTCTACCACTCAGGCATGTACACAATGTACGGTCGGTGTGTGTGTAATCCAGTTTGTTGGATATTATGTCCCCTGGTGTATGATGTATGGTGGGTATACATGCTGTGTACTGCAGACAAGGGCTTCAGTGCGTCTTGAAAAGGCAGCATGGCGTGGGGGGTTGTGAGGTAGGATGGGTGATTCTTGTATGTCATCTTTTTTGTAGTACACACGACGCACCGGTTGGATGTGTGTGTGTTTACGCGAGAGTTGTGTGGGTGTTTGGTTGGGAGTTTGTACCTGTAAAAGATATTCTCCCTCTCTCTTTCCTTCCTTTCTCCCTCTCTCCTTCTTTCCTTCCTCCCTCTCTCCTTCTTTCCTTCCTCCCTCTCCTTTCCCCTTTATCTTCTTCCTCTCTGCCCCCCTCTCTCTCCTTTATTTTCCCCCTATTTATCCCCTACTCTCTCCCTCTCTCTCTCTCTCCCCTGTGACCACAGATCCACTCTCTGGAACAGCAACTGGCTGAAAAGACGGAACTGCTGAGGCAGGTCGAAGCTCAACTAGCCTCCCAGTCAGACTACGAGGAGATAAAGAGAGAGCTAGAGTAAGCCTTTGACCTCATGAATAATTCACGCTGTTCTTCAATTGTCCATCAGTGTCATAAAAATGATAGAGTTTTCTGCAAAGTCTTCATCCTCCGATAGTGCAACTGGTGCTGAAGCTGTGAGTTCCATTCAGGAGAAAACTAACGGAAGAGCACATATTAATCCTAGCTGACCGGTTGGACGCAAGCATTTGTGAAAATTGTGACCTCTGAAATTGTGGCTAAATGAATTTTTCTCTCCCCTCTCTTTAGCCACACCCCTCCAAGCCTCTCGAGGTGCTTTTATTGGAGAAAAACCGAGGTAGGAATACCGCCTCCCTCCTGTTTACCAGTTTGTTGTTGTTTATCACTCTTGTTTGTTGTTGTTTATCGCTCTTGTTTGTTGTTTACTCCTCCAGCACTGCAGAATGAAAACATGTCTCTCAAGTTGGAGCTGTCAGAACTCAGAGGTTAGATCGGGGCAAAATTGGGACAGTCCCACATTGAAATGAGAGACCCCAGGCATTAGATCGGGGCAAAATTGGGACAGCCCCACATCGAAATGAGAGACCCCTGGCATAATATACAGTAATTATACCTCTTCATGTAAAGCACCACATGTAGTTGTAAATTTAGACCAAAAAAACATGCTGACCGTCAAAAGTTGTCTTGGTGTAATTTTGTGCGAGAAAACGTAGTACCATTCAACAAAGTCTTTTCTCCCAGCTCAAATGTTATTCCAGCAAGGTTTAAAACATTATGTGCATGCAGATGTCCATGTCAAATATGAAATGATAAATAATGATGCAACTCATGACAAGAAGCCAACCTTACCCGTGACAGGGTTAAGTCAGGCATTTGCCGCTGTTTATGTCAACCCTACAACTGCACCCATCCTCCCTAACACGGTAATTAGGAAACCTGCATGCCCTGGATTCCTCCCACGCCTACACAACTGAGTAACAGAGAAGGTTTACTACCTTTTCATACTCAGACTTCTCTCTCTCTCTAGCGCTCTCTCTCTATCGAGAGCGCGCGGCAGCTGCTCGCTCTATCTCTCTCGCTATCTCATAGAGATTCTAGAGATCGTCTCTCTATCTACATCTCTCTACTCTCTCTCTCTCTATCTCTCCTCTCTCTCTCTCTCTCTATCTCTCTCTCTCTCTCTCTCTCTCTCTCTGCATGACATACAGTTACATAACAAAACCCAACCCTGTTTTTGCCAAATAACATTTCACGCTTATCCGCCGTGGATTATGTAATTCGAACGTAACGTGAAACCACATCGCGTCTCCTGCTCCATTTGGCGTGCTTCACAAACAGCCGTCGTCCGCGTAATCCACGGGCAAAGTTACCCGCTTGCCAAAAATGCTCGCTCCTCTATTCACGAGTCCCATTACGGCTCTGTAGGTTTTCTCCCATTATAACCTGTTAAGTTAGCAGTTCAACAATAGCATACCCGTTGAAAAACATGTAGTTTGAAAGGGGCTTGTGTAGCTAAACAAGTACATACATACATCTCAAAGACTTTATAACTCAAACGAGACACCTGGCAGTCAAAAAAAGTAAATTTTTGCACCATGCGAAAGTTTCCAGCTTGGTACACACATGTATAGAGCAGCTGCACTGATACCACAGAGTGAGGTATAATGTAGCATGCAGCCCTGATCGAGAGAACGTTACTCCACTCACTAGCAGCTGTAGTAATGTTGTTGTGAAGTGTAAGGATGCATTATTGGCGGACTGTATGGCTGCGCATTGCTGTGGGTGAGTGGCGTCTGAGGGCTCTGGGTGTCTGATTAGTTTAATGGGGTGCCTCTCTTTATATCTGATGTGTGTGTGGGCGGGTGAAAGGAGGAGAGAGAGATAGAGGGCTGGTACCAGTGTATGTATATACCAGGACCATAGTCCCTCTATCTCTTCATTTGTCATCCTTAATACACTTCTTAGCCACTTCCCAGGGGGGCACTTTGACCCCCAAATAGTAGGCGTCCTGTTATTGGGACCATCCAAACTTGTTGCTAGTGAGGCTGATTGTCCCCCAGCAATAGATCTCTGGTGCTATTAGCTCTCTTTACTGAACGCAGCTCTTCAACCAATAACCTTGTGTTTTGCCTCTCTCAAGAGAAGGACCGTTTAGAGAAGGAATGTTTGTGTGGGTGTTGAATTGGAGCTGTTATTACTGCGCGTGTTGCAAGAAGTATGAGTTTGTACAGAAAAGCTTACAGAGTCAAATTCCTCGAATTCGTGGGGGTTTATATGGCTACTGCCGTAGGTAAACTGTCTCAGTCTACATCTACCTTTCAATGCCCAGCATTTGCAGTAAGTGCGGATTAGTTTTGGTGTCCTCCGCAGCTATTTTCATTTTCCTGCCGAGGGCTAGTGATGATTTCATCAGGAAGTCATCTTTCCTCCATTTCTCTTTCACTTCTCTCCCTCCTCCTCCTCCTCCTTCTCCTCCTCCTCCTCACTACCTCTCATCCTCAGGTCACTTCTCATCTCTCCAGACACAGCACTCGGATGTACTGCACACCCTGCAGGAGCAAAAGGATCTGATTGGTCAACTCGAATCTGATCTTCTTCGAGCTCAGCCCTACATACCACAGAGAACAGAAAGAGAGGTCTGGTACCAAAAAAACAGCATCTTTGCATCTGTATATTACATCAAGCCTGATGCTACTCTTCCTATGGTACCCTTTTTCTCATTATAGATTCCCCTACATTTTGCCTTCAAAATTTTAGACTCCCATACATTTTGCCTTCTAAATTTTAACGGATTTGGACTTGGGCTTTGTTGCTTGTGTGCTGAGGCTAACTCTAATTTTTCTTCACTTGGCAAACCACTAAAGCACGGCGCACTAGAAACGTCGAACCAATACAAGCTTGAATTTACATACACATAGTACGTATGCCTTGTTTCACTCGCAAATATGAACAGTTTTTAGAATACTTGTTTGTGTAATTTGTTTTTTGGCAGGGTCAAGCCACCGGTTCTTCTTCTGCCAGCATAATGTCTGAGGTCCTGCGGGATGTGGGAGGAGGGGGAGGGAGAGAGACGGTGGTGGGCAGTGATGGCGGGGCTGACTCCCTCCTCCTGATCGTCTCCGGTCAGAGAGAGCGTTTCAGACAGAGGAACGTGGAGCTGGAGGCTGTGAGGGAGGGGGAGGGAGGGAGGGAGAGAGAAGAAGGGGGTGAATTAGAAAGGGAGGGAGGGAGGGAGGGAGGGAGTGAGAAGAAGGGGGTGAATTAGAAAGGGAGGGAGGGAGGGAGGGAGTGAGAAGAAGGGGGTGAATTAGAAAGGGAGGGAGGGAGGGAGGGAGAGAGAAGAAGGGGGTGAATTAGAAAGGGAGGGAGGGAGGGAACAACAGAGAATAGCTGGCTACCCCAAAAGCTCGCCGAGGATAACAAGCAGCAGAAACCTGCTTTCACATTTAAAACACTTCAGTATGGTCTATGCTGTGTAGTGCTCCAAAAGTTAGCGCTACTTTTATAAATCTCTAAGTTGGATTTTCGTAAGTTTGGAGTGCATCAAAACTTTCATGACAGACGTGTAACCTCTGGAACTCTGGATGGATTCCTGAGGGCAATTAGCTCACTGTACTTTCAGAGAAGTGGTGGCTATCCCGTTACACATCTGTGTGTTTCCATGGATGCACTCCAAGAGGCCGACTGATTCCTCCTTGACCTAGGAAATACCTTACTCCTAGCCTGGACTGCCCCCCTCTTGTTTTCACTTCCTTTTTCAGCTGTATATACCTTTGCTGCACGTCGTGTGGTTTTGTTACCAAGCCTTTAGCTATTTTTCAGTTTTGCGTACTAGAGTATTATGTTTAATTATCCAACCTCTTCCCCCATCTCGTTCCAACCTTTCGTTTCTCTCCCCAAACTTTCATCTTTTCCCGTTATCTCGCTCCCACCGTTCGTCTTTTCTCGTTCCAATCAAGGATATTTCGTCCCTGATGCTACACCTAGTGTATAGCCCTGCATTACTAGCTTAGCTTTTTGCAGTGTTTCTTTACGTTAGTTTACTCTCGTTGAAGCCTTCGAATTTCTAAAATATCTACCCATAAAAGTGTGGTACCATAACAAGGTATATGTATATAGTTCTACGGCCGATCTATGGCACTATAATTATTAAGTACTTAGAATTGAGTGTGTTTTGTAGAGTGTAATAAGAGGAGGACCTTCTTGTGTATTGTGGATTGTTGCAGTGAATGGTGCTGTAACCAATTTTCTTCTGCACCTTTCCCACTGAGTGTGCAGTATGACATCGCTTCTCTTTTGTTTAATCCACTTCCACCCACACCATCTGAGCCCAGAGCCTGCCACACAGCCCATACAGCTCCCAATGGTATAGCTATATTATAGCCCCACAGTGGTGGCTGCCTACATTACAAAAGCCAAGTGAGATACGATTAATTGACCTATGTACATAACTGTGCTGGGAGTGGTAATTGGTCCAAGTACCAAGCCTTCTGCCGTCCTCCCACTATTTATCCCTCCCTTCCTCCCCTTCCTTCCTTCCCTCCCTCCCTCCTTCAGGAGTGTCGTCAACATCGCACCACAGTCTCGGTCCTCCAGAGAGAGGCCGACGCCCTCAGAGCCGACAACGTGAAACTGTACGAAAAAATCAAGTTTCTCCAAAGCTACCCCGGAACAGTACGTAGGTCCCCCCGGTTTTTACCAATACAGTAGAACCCCTTCCTCTAAACACCCCTGGTGTGAGAACAGTACGTAGGTCCCCCCGGTTTTTACCAATACAGTATAGACCCCTTCCTCAAAACACCCCTGGTGTGAGGACAGTACGTAGGTCCCCCGGTTTTACTTTACCTATACAGTAGAACCCCTTCCTCAAAACACCCCTGATGTGAGGACAGTACGTAGGTCCCCCCGGTTTTTACCAATACAGTAGAACCCCTTCCTCAAAACACCCCTGATGTGAGGACAGTACGTAGGTCCCCCCGGTTTTTACCAATACAGTAGAACCCCTTCCTCTAAACACCCCTGGTGTGAGAACAGTACGTAGGTCCCCCCGGTTTTTACCAATACAGTAGAACCCCTTCCTCAAAACACCCCTGGTGTGAGGACAGTACGTAGGTCCCCCCCGGTTTTACCATACAGTAGAAACCCCTTCCTCAAAACACCCCTGATGTGAGGACAGTACGTAGGTCCCCCCGGTTTTTACCAATACAGTAGAACCCCTTCCTCAAAACACCCCTGATGTGAGGACAGTACGTAGGTCCCCCCGGTTTTTACCAATACAGTAGAACCCCTTCCTCAAAACACCCCTGATGTGAGGACAGTACGTAGGTCCCCCCGGTTTTTACCAATACAGTAGAACCCCTTCCTCAAAACACCCCTGATGTGAGGACAGTACGTAGGTCCCCCCGGTTTTTACCAATACAGTAGAACCCCTTCCTCAAAACACCCCTGGTGTGAGGACACCGCTAATACGGACAATGATGATAAGAACGACAGCCGGAATCTATGTAGTCTCAAGAAATGCAGTCTGTTACCCGTTTCGTAATCCTGGCTCAAGTCTGCGAGGATTGGTGTGAAGGGAATACTTCGAACCAGATGGAGGAAAAATAGGGAAATTGGGAGATGTGGGGTAATCAGTCGCGAAGCCCTCTGAGCTGAGTTTCTAGGAACCGCAATCAGTCTTTAGCGATAATATAAAACAGGAAGCGAGGGAGCATTCAATGTGGGGAGGTCTGTGTGGAGCGCGATTCAGTCTGTTGAAGGAAATGTTTCCTGCGTTGTTTATTGTGTGTGTGTGTGTGTGTTTGTGTGTTTGTGTGTGTGAAATGGTGGCGTGTACAGAGCTTGGGCGAGGTTTTCTCATATCAGTTGGGGGTTAACGGTTACTTTACGGTGTGTGTGTGTGTGTGTGTGAAAGAAGATAGGGTTTGAAGGTTTTTTTCTACACAGTAAGGGGTTATCTCTCAGTGTGTATATTATAGTCATGTTAGTTTCTCCCTCCCTCTCCAAATGTTGGTTCAGCGTAAGTCAGTGGATGACAGAGACACCCTCACTAGATACTCGTCAGAGTACGAGACACAGCTGGACCCTTTTACCGCCTTCAGTGCTCAGGCAAGCCTTCCTTTTCTCTTCTCTCTTCCTTATTTCCCTCCCTCTCCTCCCTCCCTCTTTCCTTCTCCTCTCTCTTCCCTCCCTCCCTTCCCTCCCTCCCTTCCTTCCCTCCCTCTCCTCCATCCTCCCTCTCTCCTCTCCCCACCTCCCTCTCTCATCTCTGCACGCACACTCCTTAACCTTTTGATTTAATTCCTGTTTCCAAGTCAAACTACTGCCCTTGGCAGGCATCATTTTGTCTGCATCAACACACGCATGCACATGCAAGTATAACTGTAATTCTTCCTCCGTTAATACTGTACATAACTGTAGAGGTTGATATGATTGTTGGTCCCCAACAAATAGCGTTTCTACACGTCTGCAACGCAGCGTGATATTGCATAACGCTGTAAATCTCTAAAGCTCGAAGTGCTACGTGGCATGTTTATCAGATTCACTTCTAATACCGATCCAGTTGGGCTGAAAGAATCACGTAAGTGTAAGGAAGATCAGAAATTGTACGTAGCATAGCAAGGAAAGGATTCTGTTGCTGTTGTTTTAACATTCTCTGGTTTGTTTGTCTGCAGGAGAGGGAGCGAAAGTACAGACAGCTCAGCGGACCAGACAAAGCCACTCTCGTACTGGTGAGCTCCTTCCATTAGCTTTGTCTGTGGAGTCCCTCTTCTTGTGTGTGTGCGGCGTATAATACTGGTGGACACAATATGTGATGACACCCCCAAACTGTGCCCTTGCGGAATTTGAGTTTGGCAAAGTCACAAAAAATCTAGGCAGGTTTTAAAATATTTCCTGACATAGTTTATATGGCAAGCCATTAGTCAGAGTGAGGTGGCAAAAAAACTACATATGTATAATTATACATGTGGCACATTGGAGCATCTATTTAAGTTTTTTTGACGCGTATATAGAGAGGAGAAGGGGGAGAAGGAGGTACAGAATTAGTCTTGCTAAACTGCCTTCTTGTAGTAATTACAGTGTTCCTGTAATAACGATCTGTGTCACAGAGTGCTTAGTCTTAACCTTGGCAGACCTTGTCTCCTGTTGGGGGCCATGAACAGTTCATTATTTCACTTTGGTGGCACTCGAGCCAATGAACCCATTGCCGTCTCGATACAATACAGCCATCTGCCTCGACTTGGGTCGCACAGGCAGCCACTCGTCTCCCCTCCTAGTTACTTCTATGGCGTCTGAAGCCACACAAAAAAGAAGGCGGAAGAATTCCGGGAAAAATGGCTCTCTTCAGTTTTTTGGCACACGCCTCGCTTCTCCAACAGTGCTTCTGTGCTCTGGGTTAAGGCTTCAGGTCGCCCTTCTTTGTGGTCATTGTGAGCCAAGTACTTACGTAAGCCTCCTGTATAGCCTGTGCACAGTTTACATCTAACAAGGGCACGTGTCGTGCATAGTATCGTAAAGTTTTACGTAACTCGAAACGGAATCGAAATTTCGCAACTGTTCAACAATGCGCACGCTGCGTTTGAATCTCGCGTTCACTCGCCGAGAATGTGTAGCTTTCGCTCTTTTAAAACGGAAGTATTGCTGGTATAATATTCTCTAGAGCTGCTTGTGGTTTTTCAGTGCTGCGTTGAATGAAACTGGTGGGTGGGTGACATCCAGGGCAAGTCAGTGAACCTCGACACTTCACAGATCAAATGCTAGCAGAGAGGATAAGCTGGGGTTAATCGATACAAACAGCTTTGCAATACACTCCCCGGTTACATAGGTGTAAGTAGTATATCCAGTTGCACAGTAGAGGAAATGTTCATAATGGCTGGTGCAGAGAGCAATATGCATCATCGGTCTTATTAAATGGACGGAGGACATTTTCATAATGGTTGGTGCAGAGAGCAATATACATCATCGGTCTTATTAAATGGACGGAGGATATTTTCATAATGGCTAGTTCAAGGACCGAGTGAGGTGTGCTTGGGAGTGAAGAGCCGGGAGGATTCTCCCGTAGAGATCCGGTGGGAGAGGATATGTGCTGAATGGCTGTAGTGGTGACGTAATGGGAGGATTATGTTCCCTCCTTTCTTCTGGGAACAGAGGTAGCTGGGGTGTTCTCAGCATCTGGTAGAGCATTGGTGGCTTCTTGTCTTCCTGTCGGTGTGTAGAGTTGTCCGCCCCTTTGAGTGCTGGACAGAGAAGCCAATGTGTTGGCTTTGGTGTTGCTACGGCCGCGTTTGTGCCACCACCGATGGCGTGACACATACATGTGTGTGTGTGTGTGTGCCATTTGAAAAAGAAAAGTCATGTAGAAGTCAAATTTCATTGGGCCTCCTTTTTCCCTCTTCTTTTCCTCCTGTTCTCTCTCTCTCCTCTCCCCTCCCTCTTTCTCCTTTTCCCCTCTCCCTCCTGCTCTCTCTCTCCTCTCCCCTCCCTCTCTCCCTTTCCCCTCTCCCTCCTGCTCTCTCTCCTCTCCCCTCCCTCTCTCTCCTTTTCCCTCTCCCTCCTGTTCTCTCTCTCTCTCCCTCCCTCTCTCCTTTTCCCTCTCCTCCTGCTCTCTATCCTCTCCCTCTCTCTCTCTCCTTTTCCCTCTCCCTCCTGCTCTCTATCCTCTCCCCTCCCTCTCTCCTTTCCCCTCTCCTCCTGCTCTCTATCCTCCCTCCCTCTCTCTTTTCCTCTCCCTCCTGCTCTCTCTCCTCTCCCCTCCCTCTCTCTCCTTTTCCCTCTCCCTCCTGCTCTCTCTCCTCTCCTCCCTCTCTCCTTTTCTCTCTCCTCAGGGGCGTTTCATACTCTCAAACAAAGTTGCGCGAATGGTTGCCTTCTTCTACACTCTCCTCCTCCATCTTCTCGTCTTTCTGGTCAGATCACAACTACTGATGATGTCCCTTGTCTGGGTCGGTAGTTTAACCGGCTTTACCGGTTCTGCAGGTTTTGTTCAAGTTGGCCGGTATGCAGTCGTTTGAACGCAACATGTACGCTGAATGCGCCAAAAGGTAAAGTCTTCTTTTATACTATTGGAGAGAGAGAGAGAGAGCAGAGAGAGAGAGAGAGAGAGAGAGAGAGGGAGCAGAGAGAAAGAGAATTATAAAATATTTCAAGTGAGAAAGATTTCAATGCGAGTCCGTTTCAAAAATAGGTTCTCTAAAAGTTCTCGTCATTTGCACAGTCGAGCAAGCACACTATGTGTGAAAGTTTCTCTAAAAAGTAAGTTCGAAGCACAGTGGATGGAACCTCTAGGTATAAAGGACGCAGTTGTTTGTCCCAAGGAGCACTGGATTATAACAAAATCTTTTATAGAGAAGGGTCCTTTAGTCTGAGTGTGGATTATCAGAGGTTCCATTATGGTTCAATGTCGTTGTGTCCAGCGAGGCCGTTTCATGGACCACACAAAACCACCAGTACGGACGGTACTATTATCACGTCCTTCTTTCTGATATTACTTCCCCTGTCACCTTGTGAGGGTCGCTGGCCCAAGACAACACATCCGACCATAGGAGACACTAGTGTTCACAGCCAAAGACAACACCCGAGCTACATGTGTACATGTACCCACAGCCCTAGGCCCCACTGCACGTACAGCGACTGTACAGTCCCGACAAAGCCTTAGTTTTAGTTATTTCGACTGTGGTTTTTAAAAATCTTTTATCGAACTGGTGCCGTGCTAGTTGATTGGTCTTAAGGACAGCCAACCTCTCTGTAAGACGAGGGCCTGTGGAGACAATTAGGGGACATTATCACTGTCTGGTTCCACGCTCTGTTTCAGGTCTTTGCAATAGCGAATAAGTGGGTGTCCTACTGTCATTTTGTTGGAAGTGTTTGTTACTAGACTAGCTGGGATGTCAACAATTAATCTATCAAGCTCATTAATCTGTAATGACTGCAGTTGTAATTGAATTACTTCCCTCCCTAGACAGGAATTGCCAGTGAGCTGTTACTTTCATGGCTGCCACACTGTTTTGTGCACACACATCGATATCAAGAGTTATCAGACTGTGGGACATTAGCAACTATCTGTTACATTAATATATGCCCCCAGCAGGCCAAATATTATAATATACCATAGGCACTAGAACTAGTCCAGGTATATACGTACCTCCAAAGCTGTTTATGGCCACGTTTTACCGATACCGGGGTGTTTACAACTTAGCTAGAGGCAGTAGAAATATTCCAGAGTGCAATCCTCTGCACAAAACCGCAGCAGCATTCTTTGGCCGTGTCAGTCTGTCTCATTCAGGCACCTCCCGTCCCACCCCACCTGCTTCTGGCTTGTCGCCCCGACCTCGACAACCCACCCACCACACCGACGTCGGGTGACCTTACCAGATTACAGGGTCGCCAAACTTACTGGGGAGACATCCTGGACTATGTGTAATGTCATTACTGCACAAATGGCGCCAAATAACTGCCTGACATTCTTTCGAAACCACAAACCCCACAAGGTTCTATCCGCATGCACCCCCAAACTCCAGCCTTTGTATTTCCAACCCTTTGATGGAATGGCCAAACTCTCATGGTGAACCCCAAGTCCTGTTGTTCACTGAACCCTCGGTAACTTTGCTGAAATTAGCTTCACTTCCATATTACATCATTCATCTCACATAGCCATCCATACGGTCTTGTATAGTATTGTAAGTATATGGATGAGAGTATATAGTACGTATATATAATTATTATAGCACCATAGACGTTAATGGAACATTGATAAGTCTTTTCAGTTTAGACACCAATAACCTGTAATGGATGGAGTTTTTGGGTAGCTTAATTAGGCATTTTAGAATTCCTTGACACTCTGTGTGGATTAAAGTGCGTGCATTAAAACGTCTAATGGTGGCCTGAGGGGCTAATGACTGGAACATCTGCAGTGCAGTGCTGTGGTTCTGAGTCCTAAGTGACTCTGAGAATGCTCCTAAGTGACTCTGGAATGCTGCAATACTGCAATAGAAGTGGACAGATCACAATCTAATACCAGACTTCTGTGTACTCATTACCTACCCGCTTTGATCAATTCCCTATCATAACCGTGTCATCTGCAACGGCTGTTTCTAACCAGGATTTTTCTCATTTTTTCCTCGCTGTGCGGGACAGCAACACTTTGTGTGCAGAGCAAAGATAATCTGCAGCATGCCAGCCTTAGCCCCAAGAGTAGCCTGGAAGAAAGTTGTCATTGATCATGGTTGTCTAGCGAATTACAAATTCCCTTTATCTCGGTACCACAAAACGTCCAACTGAACAAATTAGTAAATTGGTAGGGGACATTCTTCTAGTCCAATCAATCAATCCTATTTCAAATCGGGACACTTTTACCCAAGACTCTTTGCTACAAGGCATACCTTCTCTAGAGAGGATGCCCACACAATATAGCGTTGCGTAGCTTTACTATCTGCTCCGTACACATCCTGTGTAATCTTCTCCCACGGACACCGGCAAAAGATCCCCCCATTATTGTGTTAGATTGTTTGCTGGGAACAGCTAGCCATACTCCTACTTATGCTAGGGTAGGGCCTTGCGTGAGAACTGTCGGTGGCGTGGGTGGTTGATGTTGTATGGAGGATGCAATAGGCAGGCAAACTTATTGTTTGTCTTCCTGTTAGCTATGCCCGCCTCTGTTTGTCATCCTAGCCACGTACTGCCCCTGCCCTTTCCTATGAAAACATTCATTCTGGGGTATACTCAGGGAATCAAAGGAGTCCATGAATTACGTAAGCACGTAAGCGCTGGACCCGAGTGATAGTTTTCTTCATGAAGAGGTGTGTGTGAGAGAGTTGTGGCAGTGATTGGAACGCATGCTGCAGGGTAATACCCTACTCAAAGTGGCGTGTAAATCTCTATGCGGTTATAATAACGCGAATTCGCTCCATGTTAAAATCTGTATAATACTGGAGTGTATGTATATAATATTATACTTCAGGGCAATGAAGTATATACTGCATTATCTGTCAGAGGGGTGAGGGGTGCTGTGAGATTTCAAGGTTTTTGTCTCCTACAGGTTTACAGAGCACATGCAACTCTTTCATCCAGAACACGTAGATGACGTTCTAAGGACTTTTGAAGAAATGAAACAGTTAGGATAGCACACCGACCCATTATTATAACAAATCTCACTCTCTCAAACTGTTGTTATCTCCATGAGCACAAATCCACCAATGAAAATGCTGCTGTTAGTAATCATAATAATATTGCGCATAATTTGGTATTTCCTGTTTTGTTGTTGTCATAATGAGCTACGTATGTGATTTACTCACTGCACTCAGCACTGGCAATGAGTTATAGTTACCACTTGGAGTGGGGATGGTGTAGTATTGAAGGGTTTCTAAAAGCACCGTTTACTCGAGTTCCACGCGGGCTTCGTGCATTTTTGAGCACTTCATGGCAACATTCACACGTGAAGACAAGCAGCAATAAATAATTTATGAAGAGTGTTTGGGCTTTAGCTAGCTACCCGGCCGTTGTCCCTGATTCTTTTTTATCCCTGGGTCTTGGTGTACTGCGTGAGCATCCACTTGCACTATTCTTCCTCCCTCCAGAGGAAACACGGCTGTCAGTTTCCCGCCATAGACACAGCCAGTATCCAGTCCAGTGGCCAGTGGATACTGCTGTAGGCGACGAACTGCGTCGTGACCAAAATAGACATGCTCCGGTCCTCTCCACTCCCCAGCCCAGGGAACTGTACCCTCAGCAGCCTTCTTGTACCACCGCCACTCTGACGATCCACTACTGGTGGTGGTGTCGCGACACCGACTAACGTCTCTGATATGAAGCATCGACAACTGTGGCTGTTCGGAGAGAGGAACTCCAGGCACCAACCCCGCGTGAACAACGATAGCTCTCACTGAGGGTATAGTTAGGGAAAACGGGAGGTTAAAGAGCCACTCCAAGTCTTCACCGTCCAGCTGGTGCATCCAGTGGAACTTGGGAGGCAAAGGTTCCCGCCCTTCCACGTAGTTCTGCCAACTCAGAAGGCACACTTCTTCGTGGTTCCCCCTAACGCACCGAGCGCCCATCCCCCGCACGCGCTTCACCACCTCGGCGTTCTTGGGGCCCTTGTTGATCAGATCTCCTACGAAGACCGTAGATACGTCTGGCCGCTCGCACCCGCACCTGTCCAATAGTTCTTGAAGTTCGTCGTAACATCCGTGGACGTCGCCGAATATCACCAACGATTTGGCGCCCAGATCAAGCGTCTGGTGAGGGTTTACCGGCGCAGGGAGACCGTATGGGGTACGATCCACTAGGAAACTGAGCCTCGAGCTCGGGAAGACGCGGCGGAGGGTAGAACGGACGATGTGCACCAGCAGCGCGACGAGAGCGGCCATTTTGTTGGGCGCGCTCCAATTAGAAACAGGAAGTAATTACCGGGACCTGGAGAAAAAGTTCGCGGTCGCGTTTTTCGCGTAGTGTGGTAAACAATGTATGGGAACCGCCGACAAAGAATGCCGATCGCAGAGAGCCGAAGCCATCCTAGCTGCTGATAGGTGGGAGGAAAAATACCACCAGTTCCTAGTCCAGCCTGACGATCAATATAAAAGGTGTTCGCTGGAGAAAGGAGGCGATGTTCGCTTCAAAGCCAAGAACTAGACCAGAGATCGCTCCGTGGGAGCAGTTTTGCAAGGACGAGGCGAGACGAGCGGCACACGAGTTCCTGGAGAAGGTGCGTAGACTGCAGACCACGGACAGAAGCAGCATGGAGGTCCCGGAGAGCGTGTTCGCTACGAAGTTCTCTGCTCACTTTCTCGACGAAGTGATGGACTTGACCGGCACCGTCCCGAACGGGAGCGTCCAAGACTACGGCCGCAGCGGTAGCGGGAGCGGGAAGAAAGTAGGAGCGGGGAAATCGTCCTGGTGGAACATTTTCAAGAGAAAACAGTGTCGCGACGAGAGAGGTGTCGTGCTTGTCGGCAGCAGCGCGTCCAACAGAAATGCCGGACTCGGCTCGGGCCTGGTGCTGCACCAGCAGAGCGCGGGCGGTTCGGTGGTGCTAGAGGCGCACGTCAAGATGTTGGACATGACTAGTTCTTCAGCGGAGCTATCCTGGCAGGCGTGTCGCCTGGCCCTTACCTCCGAGCAGGGAAACCACCAGCTGGAAATCTACTGCCCACCCAAGGTCAGTCGAGAGGAGAGAAGAGGGATTTAAAAGAGAGAAGGGGGAAGATAGAGGGGGTGTTTATGTTGACTGTGTGTGCCTGTTGAACCCACACACACGCCCAGCTCCTTTCTAGCCGCCCGCCTAGTTTGCCAGCAGCTGCTTCGCCCAGCACTGCTGTTCACACACTGGCGAAATGCTGTCGTAAACTACCACCACCCATATTGTCTCCCAGGACAAGCCCAGTCAACACCCTACAACACCACTGTACTAGAGACTGAGAATGGAGTACTTAACGACTCGTTAAATCCAGTGTGATTTTTTTGACAGAAATGCATGTCCACACTCGCTCTAAGTACTTCTGACACTGCAGTTCTTGTCCCCTGATTTGTCTCACTTGCTGGAGAGATATCTCAGTGTACTAATTGTACTGTGAGTGGATTCACTTGCACTCAACAGAAAAGCCTCTTTGCCGGTCATCCCTTTCTTGCCTTGTAACGCTACAAGGCCTTATGTTTCAGCCTTGTATGGGGTGTGCATTTTAGCCCGGGGATCAAGTTCACAGCTGCTTTAGACCACGCTACTTCAACACATCATCCAATGTCAACAGGGGCTACTACTGCACTGCAAATGTGTCTAATTTGCATATTATACCACCGTCTTTGGTGGTTTATCTGTAAAGGCTTGTACTTGGCATAGGTCCTGTACACACATGATGTATGTTTCCGTGGAAATTTCGTTGCAACTCCTCCCAGCTGTTTAGCTGCCCCATACACTACCCATGCTCCCCATTCAATACTAGTTACACAATCCCCCGCCTGTTCCTGATCCTACACACATATACATATGTATGCTTGCACCAGGACATGCACAGTTTGGCTCGACTAGTAATTACTAATTTCCGCCTTTCCGCTAAGGCAGAGTGCTTTTTAACAACTGGAAGGTGATGCCTAATTGCATGTCATCCTCAATTAGGTTATAATCAGTGCATTCCATCCTGAGAAAATAATACACATTAACGATTTGTACTACATACATATCCTGTCATTACATTAGTATGAACTAATTGATAACTTTGTTGTAATCTGATTCTAATTTAGTCGCCATTAGTACCTTCCATTGATTCACACCTGCCATAGGCTTAGGTGTATTAGCACCTGTAGAGATGTATGTAGAGATGTTCCTTCTTCTACTGTGGCATTTGACAAATGTAAAACGGATGGCAGCCCTGATGGTAGAAATACATACCTTGGCCTTCTGTAGCTCACCAAGCAAGTACAGGTCGAGCCATAGAGCGTGCCTCTTTCTTGACCTCTCTCTCTCTCTCTCTCTCTCTCTCTCTCTCTCTCGCATGCGGTGGATGTACATAGGGTTGCTAGGTATACACACCCAACCCGGCTTCTCACAGGGCTCTGTGTTCCCACGGAAACACTGGGTGTTTGTGTCTGTCGGGCCTCCCTTGCTCCCCCTCAAAGAGAACCTGCGGCCCACTTCTTTTTGATGTGGCTACGCTAGTGTGTCACCAACACCTCTGGATAACCCTGTTTTATTCCCCCTCCTCTTACTTCCCTTCTTCTCTCTCTCCCTCTCTCCTCCCCCCTCATTTTCTGGCTTGTTTTTTCAAGGTGTTGTTTGTGGTGTGTGTGTGTTTCCGTTCCGATATTTTGTCGCGTTGTGTCAATTATCCTTACAGCCTAGTTTTCTGTTTATAGTAGTTCTGTAAATGTTTACGCATAGCCTCGTCTGCTTTCCATATGCCACGTCTTTGGTTGTTTGCCACTTGTACTGCACACACTGTGGGCCATATAGGTAACTATTGGATGCATGCTGGTACAGTGGAACCTCCGATAAGGGACCCTCCGAGATAGGACGACCTCTCTACGAGGGACAAAATCGTCTCATATAGTATCCCTTGTTCGGAGGTTCCACTGTATTGCTGCATGGTTTTGTGTAGTACATGGTGGAGGGCAAGACGGGGTTAAATTATGACTGGGACATTTGGCCGTTCAGATGCGGCATTGCACAGTATATTGTTGTGTATGTACATTATCGTTGATTGTTGTTGTCCCTTTATGCATGGGCTGTTAATAACTGAATGGGCATCGCCAATACTCCAGAGAACTGTGTCCTTATTCATAGATGCACAATAATAATTATTATTGACAAAGAGAGTGGAGTCCATAACAATACAGGCTTTGTACAATGGTTACAATTAAAGCAGCCGCTTAGAACTACTCTCTATAATGAGGACACCTCTCTAATAAGGACACCTTTTTTCCCCCCAAGAACAGCTCTTGCGTGCAGGGGACACCTCACTAATATGGACACTAACATATCTGTCCTATTGGTGTCTGACTTTGAGGGGTTCCAACTGTACATCAGCGTTGTAAGGGATGCAGTGCATTTGTGAGTGGTATATAAGGTGGTATACAGTGGGCCGGTGGCACCTTTAAACTATTCTACCGGTGACAGCAAAGGATTGTGGTCACTCACTCGCTCGCAGACCTGGTGGTACAGGGTAAGGTGTATGTCACGAAGGAACAGGCTGTGTTCCTGTCTTTACCAGGCTTCGTGAAGGCTCACAACTCTGCCTTTGTGTGCATGTGTGTATACCTGGAGGTGTACAGGTACTGGGGCGTGGGTGGAAGGCCGGTGTGTGACTGGAGGACCTTTGTACACAGGCTTCTCAAAGGCTTCTAGAGGAGAGGACATTCTTGGCAACCCTCGCAGCAGCTGCATGCCCCTCTCAAGCTCTTCCTGTGACACAGGAACAATTTCCTCTGGCACCTGCTGTGTGTAAGAGCGTTGGAATCCCCTCAGCCGCCAGACTCTCTGGCACGGAGGAGAGGTGGCGATAGTTAAACCTTTGAGTGAAGGGCTTCTTGTTCCTTTATCTCTCCTCGGCTCCCTCTCTCTCCCTCTCTCTCTCTCTCCCTCTCTCTCTCCCTCTCTCTCCCTCTCTCTTTCTCTGTCTGTACTGCTCGATTGTCTGGTCCAAGCTACAATTCTGCCCGGTGCTTCCTGTCTGGTGCCTCGCGGGCAGCTGCCACCTTGGCTGTGAATGCCGCAAATCCCGCCAAATTTCCTCCGACCTTCAACTCCCATACTTTAAACCGTCTCGTTTCTCACACACACTGTGGAGGATTCATATCATAGCAAGTACAGGTGCAAGAGAGGGTGAGAGGAATGGATTATGAGGGAGGGAGGGAGGAAGGGACAAATTAGAGGTGTCGGGGATTGGCTGAATTATCGCTCCCAAATGGGGCGGTATAGCGGGAAAGTCATGCTCTGGGGGTGAGCAGTAGACAGGCAGACAGAGAGAGGGAGGTGGAGAGGAGATGACCACATCGGTGGAGTTCACTCGCTGTCTGGTGGCTCGTCTACTTTCGCATGTGATTAAATTCCTGGCATTTTTAATACCCTCGGGAACGATATTCATACGTAATCTATTGGGCAGTAGTCTGTACCTCCCAACATGTGTGTGTTTTGGTCACTGCTAACTTAACATTAACGCGGTTTAGCTTTGGGAATGTTGTGTACGTATGGACATATTATACTGTAGCGAGTGATAGGTAGTGTGTTGAATGAGCAAGAGAAGTTGTGATTTGGCCTCTATGTTCTTCCCTGTTACTGTAGAGCAACTTTCCAAAGATGTCCCTGTTCTGCTTCCTACTGAAGGAGGTTCGATCCTCGACTACTCTTGAACTACCCGACTCTGTCTCCTCGTTTGTTGTCAAGGTTGGTTCACACACACACACACACACACACACACACTCTCTCTCTCTCTCCTCTCTCTCTCTCCTCTCTCTCTCTCCTCTCTCTCTCTCTACTGCTGATAGATGCATGTACACACACATGTAACTAGAGATATAGGGGCATTACCTTCAAAATACCCAATCACCTGTCAATTACTAA